TTACGTCTAGGGGGGAGACCTTCAGGTCTTCCCGGGTTTCGGGGTTGCTTGTGGGATGTAGGATGTCCCAAGGTAGAAGACGGGAAGCCAAGCGGAGCAAAAAAGCAGAAGCCGAGAAATCAGGATCCTCGGAGTTGAAAACCAGAAAAGCCGCCCGGATAGCACGCCCCAAACCCGACACACACGCACACGCACACGCACACACACGCACGCATCTCTCTCTCTCTCTCTCTCTCTCTCTAATTTCGGCCAAAACCACACGAAGGTATACTTACTTACTTGGCAAATTCGTACACCATCAGCACCCGCGACTGTCACTGCGATTCTTGCGTAGGGAAGCGGCAGAGGCCTTGCCCGAGTTCTCTAACCGGTCGACGAATGCCAGGTTCCTGATGAGGGCGCTCCCGGAGGCACTTGTTCTGAGCTTGGGCACGTCGTGACACAGGACAAAAACAGAAGAACTGAGAGGTCGGCTCACAACATGAGGAGACCACCATGTCGGAAGAGCCCGGCACCCACTCGACCCATTCCTCAGAAATGCTTGCTCCAATGTCTGCTGCATCTGAATGCGTTGTGGCTCTAGACAGGCTTATTCCACTCACTTACTCGAAAGAGATATTGAAACAGTCGCAGAGCAATCAACAGAAGCAGCGTCTTTCTTCCTGAGGCAGTCACGATGCGCTTCCCTTTCGTGTAGGTCACATCGTGGAAGTTCGGGTGCTCCTACAATTTGTAGCTACAACATGTATCCAGTACTCTGGAGACTGAACTGAGGCATCCGAGCGTCTCGGACACCCCTCCCTTCTTGAGGACATCGAGCCAACGCAAGCTCGTACAACTTTCCGTTTTAGTGCTCTGCCGCAGCGCGGTCGTCCCGGCCATCCCCGTCCAACCTTGAGCTTCGAGTGCGTCTTCGTGATCGCGCCAGCCTCTTCCTCCCCGAGGTGTGCGAACCTGCGAAGACCACGTGAAGAATGGTGAAACGATCAGTCCATGCAAGAACCGAGGCAGTGGCTCTTCTTGGAAGATGTCGACCGTCTCGTTTGTCTGAAGGGCCTCCTCGACTCCGACACCTACACTCCGAGGCTTCGTTCCGCGGCCAGGCGGGGGGCAAGTGGTAGGACAACCGAGCGCTTGCTCGTCTCAACTTGTTAATGACAACCTGTCTGAGGTGCCCGCTGACGGTAGAGAGGAACATGGAAAGCTCATCCACCTGGCACATAGCTCACGGAATGCCCTTGCTTTCCTTGACACCCTGCACCAGTCTTACACCCTGCTGTTCGCCCGACTCATCTCCACGAGACAGACCCGTTCAGCATGCAGTCTGCTACCTTGTCATAGCCGAGATCTGCGCCCTTCTGCAGGAAGTCCCCAGGACTCAGCATATCAAAGCATCAAGGCATCAAGGCATTCGAGGCAGAAAAAACTTCAGTTCTCTGCGCTGCATCTGATCGAAGGAACTGTCCCATCACAATTCCTACTCTTCCACCCAGGCTTCTGGCATATACTGCGTGGACTTGTTGACGGGTCGGAACCTGAAGCAACAAGCAGGTTGCCGGCCTCTGACTCTTGCGCCAACTGCGAGCATTGTGAACGCTCTGATGCACACGAAGCAGAACCAGCCAGACGGAACTTGGGATCCTTGCCAAGTGGTTTGGCAGGAGCACGTTCGCGTCTCCTTTACAGCCTGTTGCCAGCAAGGCTTGCAAGATGTAGGATCCGTCAAAATCATTCTGTTCATGTCAAGTTTCCACAGAAAGCGTCGCTTGGCAGCAGGAACTGCATCTTGCCTGGATCCCCATCTCCAGCTCCTTTTTTGGAGGAGCGAAATTGTGATCCTGCAGCGATTGATATAGCACCACTACTCATCAACAGAACGACCCACATGTGCAGGAAGCAACTGGGAATCAAAGCAAGCGTCCTTCTGCGGTCTGCAATTCTGATTGTTCTCGCCTAGCAGGCCCACTGCGAAAGGGCAAGACATGTTCAGCCAGACCTAGGGCGTAATGCATCTCTCGCATTCCTCGGGAGCACCATACATGATTGCGCTCAGCAGAACAAACTGTGTACCAAAGTCTCCGTGACCGCCGTGATTCTAACGGGGTTCGGATGTGGGTTGGCAGTTGATGAGGTTGCTCCATACAGCCCAGTGGAGCAAGATGTGCAGACTCGGATTTCATGGTGTCCCACGCAGGCTCAGCACTTCGGAGTCATCTGCTTCGAAACGTTTTGCAATGGATCAAATTACAACGCTTCTTGGGCCTGGATATCTCATGACGACAGGTGGTCTGCAGCGCAAGAACCGCTCATCAATTCTCATCAATTTTTTGTTGTGTTCAGCCACGGCAAACACTCAGAGGATCAGATAGCATGAGCGCAAGCACAAGGCTTCTCAGGCCGGCAAGCAACACTTCCAGGGCACACCGGAGGATTGCCATCTATCATGCACCGGTGCTTGCAAAATTCGGGCCACCCCCTGATACCCTACGTGAAGTCTTGCCAGTGTCCTCAATACCAGCAAAAAAATGGAAATATGAGCATGTTCATTCCCCAAAGTGCGAACACCCACTGCGTATCAGGCGCTCAACCTCGAAGCCACTAAGACATGAAGCCGCAACGAGTCGCAGACCTGAGTCGCTGAACTTCGTCGACTTCCCAAATTGGCTGCGAGGCCTCGTCAGCCGTCAAGTCCACATGCCTCTGGCCTCCCACATCTCTTGCAGAGAGAACAGCATGGCCTGGTGATCATGATCTCCAGGAGTGGGCGGCTGTTGTGGACGGTGAAGGTACGAACCTGGCGTGGACCACCGAAAAATGCCTCCTGCCACGTACAGCTTGATGCTCCTTCCGGAGAGGCCTCGTCGTGCGTCGCCTCTGCCGTCTCAGACTTCCACTCTTTACACTCCTCGAAGCAGCTCATCGGTTGTCTGCTGAAACACTGCCCACAGCTGGCAACGAAGCGCATCTCTGCGCAAGTCATGTGACACGGGGTCCTTGGGGAGATCACGAATGACGATGTTCTCCTCTGGCTCATCCTGCCAAAGTCGCCACGCGCCATAGCCAGAGCACCCGAAGCAACCGGTAGCCTAGAGCATGCACCGACTTGCATGCTGCACTCTAATCATCTGATGCGAAAACTGGAGCCCCAGAAACAATCGGGCGTAGTCATGCCAGGGTCTACTGCATGCATGCCATGATTGTGCCACTTCTACACTGTTTCGTCGTCCGTATAGCTAAGACTGCCGCATCTTCTAAGAGTGGTGACGATGGAAGCTCATGCAAGGCTTCGATTACTGAGCAGATCGCTGCTCCTGGACTGTCATGGAGCAAAACACGCGGCCTCGATTCCTCCGGCTTCCTCCCCCTTCTGATTTTCCTTCTCGAACTCGTCCATCACCCCCTGGCAGCATCTGGGGCAGACGGCAAACTTCGCTGGGAGCCGAGCAGAGCTCCGCGGCTCCGACCTGGCGGAGCTCTGCGAGTCTTTCCATCTCGCGCTTGTAGGCTTCCTCCGTGGTGCACCTGCGAGGCGAGCGCGAGCATGCAAGCTTTTCCGGCGCCTTGGTGGCAACTCTGCTGTCAGGCGGCCACACCAGCTTTTCGCCGTACGCCTCAAGTGGACAGGAAACGAAACAACAGATCCACCAAGCTTGCTGGCGTTGATGTATTGATGTTGGTGAGTCCAGATGTACCCTACCATGCAGCCTCTGCTGTCGGAGGAGTCGCCTACTTCAGGCCAGCCCGGAGCCAAAGCAGTGTTGCCGTTCAGTCTCTGTCTCACATCAGAGTGAGCCGGAAGTGCCTAAGAATCCTGGGACTGCGACTTTGGAAGGGTCGAAAAGCACGAGGATATCCTCTAGCGGATACTTCTCGAAGTCCTCACAGCTGTGGATCTAGGCGTTGCAGCTGTGGACAGCAGTCTGGGCCCAGTCCCCTCGGCTGTAAAGGTGCTTGTGCTTGCAGGTTGCGAAGGGCTCTCCTTCTGCTGAGGATGGTAATCCGAGGCAAAGCCCATTCGCTTCACCTTTGGCACATGGCTGAACTGCGGAATGTGGTGCAGAAGGCAAAGGCATTGCAATCATATTGATGCCAACATGCTGCAGCTTGTGACCAACTTCGTGCAGAGTGTCAGGACGCTTGACGATTCAAAATGCCCGTCACGGCCTGGTCCAGTACCTCCGACTTTGTGAGGTGAAAGAAGGGCTTCAACCTTGCGACAGTTTGCAGACAGTCAGCGGCACTAGCTGAAACAGGCCCAATATCAAATGTCCACATGATATACGATATCCATACAGCCTGTTCCAGTCTGCAGGTTACTAGCCCAACGCCGCCAATTGAATGCGGCAACCCCGGGCCTGAACACCAACAAAGGCCAGGAGTGCACAGAATAAAGGCTCGCGAGAGTAGGCTACTTAACCCGGACAGCCGTGACCTTGAACCCTGAAGCGCGAAACCTCGGACGGACTTCAGCCAAATAAGCAAGAAGATGCACTTGACTCGATTGCCACAAGAAAAGCAAGCCTCCCAAGAAAGGAACTATGCAAGTCATAAACACACCCTTCAATGAAGCTAGCACAGTGAAGCCAATGGAATCGAGCAGGAATTGACACTTTTGATTAATGGCTTTTGCATCGTTGGCGCCCGATCTGCCAATCAGAGACAGTTGCTCTTCTGAGTTGCCGGCTTCATCCCAGAGAAGGGGACATCGTCGGATTCGTCAACTTCGTCGACCAAGCCGAGGGACAAGTAGTTTTTGGCCTTTGCCCGAAGCTCTCGTTGTCTGTCTGTGCCATTGCACAGACGGTCTGATTCAGCTGACTCCTTTTTCCTTGCTGCACGAAGGCTCGAGGTGCGCTGGAATCCTGTACATCCATCAGATGCTTCGCTCTGAGCTGATAACAGCAGCTTGGGTGCTTTGCCCCATGATGTCCTGTGCCACGGGGTGTGGCAAGCGGAACTGTCTTCTTGATGCTTGAAGCTCTCTGTACATGGCGGTTACTTCAGGCCCCCTGGAGGGAAACGGACGGAGGATCTGGCTCGTAGTGCAGCTTCATGTGCATCTCTCTGATGTAATCCTCAGATGAAGCCTCTCCTAGCCTCTCCCTGGAAAAACTCTGTCTGGCTTACCACCCTAAACCAAACCGAGAGCTTCGTAGCGTAGCTTTGACGAGGCCTGGGCCGGGGTAGCGACGGAATCCCAGGAAAGCCAGTAACAAGAAACCTGCTGCCCTGCTGCCCTGCTGCCCTCATGCCCCAAACCCTAAAAGCTGCCTGAACTCTCAACAGCTGTCGGCAGTAAGCTGCAGGCCTGGTTTCTGTCACGAAGTGTCCATTCTCCGGTTGGTTGTGTGGGCTGGTTTCTGTTACGACTTCGTGGGTTTGCGTTGCCTCGTTCACTCGGCTTGGGCATATGGCCAAGGTGACTACCTCCAGAGCGGTTGATGCAAAGCAACGCCCCGTGCAAGAACAGAAAAGTAAAGGCTGTGGAAATCCCCCGACGTTGGAAATCAGGGAAGAGACCTTTAGACCGGGCAGCTGGATGCAGTCGGTTCCACATGAAGAAGAGCATGATCCAGCTGGCCAGCCACATTACTTGGACAAAGCCCCAGAGCGCTGGTGCCCCCCAGCTGCCATAAGCCAAACCAACCAACTGTCCTGAAGCAGGGGCGGAAACCGAAATGGCCCCCGTGCAGCTGGACATCTGGCTAGAGAGCACCATGCTAATCACGTCCTGAAATGGCATTGGCAAGGGAGGTGTTGCTCTGAAGGACCGAAAAGTACAATCCAGCATTGCCCTGACAGGGCTGGTGGTTCATATCAGCTCATGCATCCGTTTTCCTCCTGGTCGCAGATTCTTTCACAACTGCAAAGCGAGCCTTGCCAATCAGCTTCGAGTACAGCGACTGTGTTGGGGGCATACTCGATCCGAAATCATACCACACTAAACTGGAGATAAACGTTGCCACAGGCAGCGAGGAGACACCAAAGCTTGTCAGGCTTGCATAGGCCAGGAGCCCTGTGTGGCTTATTAACGCCCACGTAGACATCAAGTTTCGGTCGTTGAACCGTTTGCTAGCCCTCTGCAGGATTGCAGTGGAAATGATGGACTCCAAAGAGAGAGCTACAAAGACGTAGGAGTTGTGCAGCTGCGTCCATCCATAGTCCCGGCTTGTGATGACGGGCACGGCGAAGTTGATGGCGCACATGGTAAATGCATTTCGGAAATTAAGGATGAAGACGAACCAGGCCCCTGTCTTGTGAAGCCACGGGTCGACAAAGAGCCGCATGTAAGGAAGCAAGCCCCCAAGGGTGAGGCACTCGCCTACCTCAGCTTCAGCATAGGCATGAACAAGCTTGAAAGAGCCTCCAATTGCCAATGCCCGTGCCCTGTGACAAGGCCAGGTTGCGGGCCCCAAATGCGGTGGCGGGGCGGGAGGCCGGCGCAGTGGTTCTTGGAAAGCACGCAGGACGAAGAGCAAAGCCAGGAGCTGCAGCAGCATCCTAAGCTTCACAGCTTCAGTATCTCGCGATTTCACGGGTCCGTCAAGGCCACCGGCCTTTACAAGCAGTCGTACGAACAACTGCGGAGCCAGACTGAAAGCTTCCGGTGCAATAGAACCCGCCATCATGGTAGCAGCAACAGCTTTCCAACTAGGGACCTCAACACTCTTTGTGACGGAGGTCGCTTACCGTACTGCTAGCACAACGACACGGACGACTATCACACCTGCTAGCACCGGACCGCTGCCATTGCTTTGGATGCCCACCAAGACCACTAGTACTAGTACTACTTTCAGACTACTGTGGGCCGCGGTCACTACCACCATCAACTAGCACACTCCTGGTTGCCAAAGCTGATGCAACATACCACTTTCGACACGTCCGGTGAAACTTCTCCTTCTAGTCTTCGACGACAATGTACCATCACCTCTACAACCACCATAACGGAGGAGCAGACAGCCTCACCGAACCTACACAACGAGGCTCAAGCCTCTTAACTTGAAGACGGGCTTCAAAAAGTAGCCAACCCAGGTGAAGTTGTCAAAAACCTCGGAGTCTCTGCACTGAAAGTGGCCGAAGGCTTTGCAGAAGCAAGAACAAAGGTTGAATCGGTTTGAAACTGGGTTATCAGTGGAGTCCACTGGAGCGGAGGCCGCGAAAAGCCGCGCAAGCCCAAGGCCTGGGCATGCCGGGGCCTGGTGCCTACAGAGAGACTCTGCAGGCGAAGCCTTCCACAGTTTACTGACCATTCATGCCCAGGTACCAAGGAGATCGGCCCCAGGTGCAAAGTAAAGTGAGGCAGCCATACAATGAAAAGGTTCAGAGCGGGACCAGCCAGTGTCAGTGTGTTGGCCACGAGCACGAAAATGCCCATGTAGTGTGTGCGATCGGCCAGGGAGGTGTTCCGAGCAATGAACCTAGGTACATGAGTGCAGCACCAGACTATTCCCAGTTGCGACTTCCCAACTTGAAATCGAAATCACTCAAAGGGCCATTCCGAAGCTCAACCGATGTGCGCTTGCGTCGCAACTCCCTGAGCGGCCGTTGCACCCAGCGCTGCTCTGGAGGCCAAGAGGGCCCACAAGCCAAGCGATGGGGCTGCTGCGTAGAGAAGGCTGGCAAAAATCGAAGCCCTTAAGAGCTGGCAAGAGGACTGGGCGCATACCATATGTTTTTTTTTGGAGCACTGCAGCCCTCAAATCAAAAGCAATTCAGGCTGGGACCCTAAGCTAACAGCGAAGACCTCCTTGTATGGCCTGCGGTCCACCCAAAAGCCGTAGAAGCCCATGCAAAGAAGACGAGCCATTGAGAAGCAGCCAGCACAAAGCCTTTGCAGCGGTTCAGACTGGATCGGGCCAGCTTTCAGAGCTACGGCCATGCGACTATGTGTCCCAACTGTCCCACACTGTTCCGGATCGCCAGATCGTGGTGTGCCAAGCAGCCCATAGACATGCTTGTCACCCCCAAGAGACTCCACGTAGCCAAGCAAGGAAGGGACTGACAAAGTTCCTGCAACAAGTCGCGCATGCCAAGACTGGACACGACTCAAGGCACTCACTGTGTTTCCGCCAACGGCACTTCGGGAACCTTCCACCGCAATCAGCAAGCCGATGCACCAGGCAGAGAGCAAATTCAGCATGGAAGTTGTCTCCGGGTTCAAGTCAGGATCGGCGGACAGCGATCTTGCGAGCAAGCGAGCCGGTCCTTGCAGCCCGGAGTGCACCCCGCCCAGGTCTCTAAGATTCTCAAAGTCTGCAGATGGGTCCTGCCGCCGCCGGAGCAACAGCCTCGACGAGATATTCTGGACTTCTGCGCAGCAAGTCTAAGAGAGCGCTCTGAACTCACTTCCACTAGCACTTGCTCCAAGGTGCCGGTTGGTCATCCGAAGTTTGCAGTGTCTCCATTGCATGGAGTTTCAAGCAGCAAAAGCTTTGTGCTTACCTTTCGTGTTCGTTCTTGCGACTCCGTCGTAACGATGCGGATCGATTGAACTCCTGCCGTCTGATCGGGTCACGAGCTTGTCTGTCCAGAACCAAACGGCTTGAGACGCGAGCTGAAACAAAGCATTGCAGAGCCATGTGAAAGCTGTGACCAGCAATTTCGGACGAGCTCATGACAAGTCTCGAAAGCGATGCTACGGACAGCTAAAGCAGGCCAGGCTAGGGTTCGGCCCTCGGTGTTCTGGAATGAGTCTAAACGCAAAAGAAGTTCTGGGGGCTTGATCGCAAGGCCACAACACCGTTACAGCCTTCTGCCTCTATGTACAGAGTCTGGGAGAACAAAGGTGCAAGAAGATGTATGCACTGGGCCCCAGTCAGGCTGGGCACCTGTGTAAACACCGTGCCTCAAACACGGCGGATCACGGCGGGATCCCTGTTGGACCATACCATTGGGCAAAAGCAAGCAGAATCAGGTAGGCGGCTGGCCTGCATTGGTTGCTGGTTGCGCCAAAATTCGTCTATTCAACTGCCCTCGCACACTTCCGGATCGCACGCATCCTGCATGGCGCCTCAGCCAGCGCCGCCCACGGAGTTTCGCAGACTGGCGACCAGCTCGGAGGACACGCCTCCCTGGCAGATTCACTGCGACCGCATTTGCAGGGATGCAGCAGGCTGGAGTTTCGAAGAACGTCTTTATATACTTCACAGGCATGCACTTGGGGTGAGGCACCTGAATCCACAGCAAGCAGTGTGTTTAAGGGCTTAGGGGTTTAGGGTTTAAGGTTTAGGGGTCTGGCTTGGGGTTTAGGAATTTAAGGTTTAGGGGTTTAGGGGCAGGGCTAGGTTTAAGGTTTAGGGTTAACTTAGGGGTGGCTCAAAACGCAGGGGACTTGCTGTCGTTGGACTGAGGTTTGTTGTGGAATCGAAGTTATTGAAATTAGGGCCTGGCGATGGTGCAGGAAGTCTGCCACGCAATCCTGAGCGCACACAGGTTGGCACCAGAATCACCGGAAGCTCTTCGTAAGCCATGACTCCGCCAGGCCCTCTCCGGAGGCCTGCACTGCACTGCACCACACACGTCGCCCGGTGCCATTTGTTGCGGAGCATGTCAGAGCCCACCTCGGCGAGAGCTTCCTGCACTTTGCACACATCAGATTGAAGTGAGCGGCGTCCCTCACCGCGCTCTTGAAACATTTTTCAAACGTCCTTGTAGCGAGCCATCATCGCTTCTGGCTCTGAGAGCTCCTTCGAAGATGCGAGATCAACGGGTGATCATGACAAAAACATGGGACATGTGCCCTTTGTTCGGTCAGCTCTCGGCTGGGCATGGCATTCACTATCTCTTATCTGTGTCTCGAAAAGGGCGTGTGCAGCATGGATGCGATGTGACTACTCTGATGAACAGTGATGCACAGAACATCCCGTCAACGCGACAAGCGAGAAGATCAGAGGTGGGCATCTCAACAGCTGCTCCTTCCGTTCTTCGCGATCACCTGGAGTTTTCAAGTCAAAGAACTCCCAAATCGAGACTCTCCTACGCGGCCTAACGTCTGCCAAGCTCTGCCGACACCCGGCCTGGTAGCGGGAAGTACATCTCCAACACAGCTAGGAAGCCACCTCGGCGCAGGTAAAACGCAGCAGACTGGTGGCTCGTTTTTTAGGATCGCACCGTCTCTCCCACAGGCAATGGTAGCACGGGCTCGATGTCTTCTGATATAGAACGGCCGTCTACAACAAGACATGACACGACATCCTGCATGATGTCTGTTTTGCCGAGTAGCTGAAGAGTCCTCGGGGACCCCTCAGGAGGCAGAGATCCTCCCAGAGTCTGGCATGGGATTGTGTAAGCTTGTCTCCCCAGATACGTTCTGTATAGCATGCAGTTCTATGCCTGCAGCATCCTGCAGCATCACGTGGAGGTCTATTCATCTAGCATGACACAAGCCAGCACAGATCGGCTGAATGCAAGTCATCTGTCCCACAGCGTCGCGATCAATGGAAGCCTGGGCTGCTGAACCGAGATAAAAGCCGCGCTTGTATCCCGGTACGCTACATAGGTTTCTGCAAAGAGCGTCAGGCATGCTGTTCTGCCGTTCTCCAGACCCCGAAAGGACTCTGACGAAAAAGCCATGACTTGCGTCAGGAGAACTTCTTTGGATTCCTTTGACTGTGCGCGCCTGCCGTGGAAAACCCTGAAGGAAACGAAGATACACAAGACGAAAACAAGAAGCACTGCAAAAATGACCAAGCATTGCCTGTTGGTTTCGTTAAATATTCGATCGGTACATCCGGCTCATGGAAACCCCGCGCCAATCTATTTAGAGAGGCCGGCCATACATCAAGGAGACATCACTGAACGCAGAGCAAAAACGCTGCCTGAAGCTAAGGCTGTGTGGCTGCAGCCGTGCAACGATGAGTCTGCAGATCCCAACGTAATGAAGTAGTCCACGGTGAACCACAACACCTCTCCGAGCAACATTGGACAGGAACGCAGTCCAGGATCCATGCTGCAAGTTCCAACTAAGCTAATGCCTAGGCTAAAGACTTCCCCGACAGGAAGCACCCCTCACCCTGAGTCAACTTCATGGTAGTCAAGTACAAGAACTGATTGATCGATTACTTAGTTACGGTGCTTCCGCCCGGACAGCTGGTCAAACAAGCATCGTTCCCAAAGCGCTTCCACTTAAACCCTAAACCCCAGGCCCCAAGCCGCATAGAAAGACAGACAGCCTCGGGCTTTGAAGAGGGCTTGTCAGTGTCGGCTCCAGGGTCCCAACCAGCTATCCTTGTAGCGACACCTTAAGGGTCCCCACAAAGGCGCAGTCTTGCTGTAGGCTTACTTAACTTAAACTTGATGGTCTTTGGGGGCATCCCGGGGCGAAACGCCTCAGGGACCTGCTAAGAACAGAGGGAAACATGACAGGGACACTTCATGCCAGACTTTGGCCGCAGTCGTACTGAACCCAAAGCCAAAAGCCAAGGTTAAAAAACAGCACGTTGCTACTCCCACCAGAACGTGCTGACCTTTGCCTGCTTGTCCAGGCCCCTGAACTAGTTACGTAGGTACACAGCGCACTGATGACTGGAAATATCGCAAATCTGAACCTATAGTATGATATGCTTTCGTCGAAGATATGTCTGAATATTCGGATGAGCACCTTTTCATCTTGGGAGGATTCGCCTGTGCTGCGTCCGCCGTACCGTACTACCTTGCATGTCCGATCTGCCTATCTCCACGGCATCCACAAACGATTGAAGTTGAGCAGGATTAAAGCTGGCCGAGAGATATTGTGCCGTTTCTGGCTTTTTGTTTCCCACAACAGGCACCTCGATGCCTGCCGACTCGAAGAAAATGGCATGGTTGGGCAGAAATGTCCTGAACAATACTCTTGGCAAGTCTTCCTCTTCTCACAGAGCCTATCTGCCTACTGAAATCTGGGGCATGTCACTCTCTCAGTCTGAATGCCCCAAGTTCCGGTCGTTGTGAGCTACAACAATGCTGTCCTGATCCGTCCTGCTCTCACGGGGCATATACACTCTGCTTAAAGTGTGCTGTCAAGGAAAGGCACCTGCCCACGGTGGGCCCCGTCGCAAGAAATCTCGAGCCTTGTCTAAATTATCAAAGTACCGACCTTCTGCAAAATTTGCTGCTGTGGGAAGCCTCCGCAGGTTCTACCCTCACCTGTGCAGTCATTGTTGTGACATCAGATCATGGCCTTTCTCGGCCTTGGCTACCTGCTCACATCGGCACTGCAGGCTTTCCTGACAAAGCGTCATTTTCGAGGCGAAACACCTTTGGGCGGTGTTTTTGAGCTCGACCAATTTGTGACTCGACGCCCTAGTGGAGTGCACCATCTTGGTCATGCATGCTCACTCACACTTAGTGCTGCCAGCGCTTTGAATATGCTGGGCATTTCGACTCGTTGGTTCCTTGGTGATTTCACAAGGGTCTTAGCTGAATCTAACCTGTGAGTGCGAGAATTCACCACGAAGTTCTGAAATCACTTCCGCGCGATTGTCTTCCTGAGGCCAAGTGTCTGGATCAGGATGTCCTTACAGAGGAGCTGAAGCTGCAGGAAGACAGCTTGCAGCCAAGAGCCAACAGCGAAGTACTGACTAAGTGACTAGGTGCATCCGAAGCGCAGCCACTGCCGTGTCACGGAACAGCCCATGCAGATCTGGATGGTGGCAGCCAGGGAGTAGCTCCTGCCATTCTCGCCATGCCCACGCGAACTCCCGGAACTCCCCATCCAGAGGTTGTTGCACAGCAGCAGACTGACACCACCAGTGCACAAGTTGCTAGTTCAACGAGTTACATGGCTGGCACGTGTAAATCGTGTGGCTCTGCACGCAGCTCCCACAAAAGCGGCACATGCGCCAAACTTTGATAAGAGAGCAGAGCGAAGGAAGAGAAAAGTAGAGAAGGTGTACGCTTATAGATTTGCATCCCACAGAACCTCGGCTTCAAGGCTGCCTGTAACACAGATAAACAAAAAAAACGTTCACCTCTGTAAGCTTTCGATTCGCGGCTGGTTGAAGAGCCGGTCTAGAGAAAGGTAAGCAAACACTACTAGTATGGTCTGGTCCACTCGATACTTTGGCATCTCCTCGTTGATGGCATCCATCATCCAGCAGCAGATCCCTTCGTCGAATCCAAGCTTGAGCAGCACCGCAGCAAGCTGATTCCTCCGGCAGGAGACAATGACATTGGCATCAGTCAAATCAACCGCTTGCTTGGCTGAGAATGCGCATTGACTTGCCCTCGCCATCTCCCTCCCTGGACCCAGGGTCATGCCCTGCGCATAGCCGACGTGTGGCCGCTTCGCGGCTGTTGCGTGCAGCACCCGGCGCAGTGCATCGCGACGCTCTGGAGCGACCAGGTCGCGCCTGCTGGCAGGCAGCATCTAAACAGAGCGAACACGGAGGGGCGGAGTACGGTCCCGGCCAGTCGGGGTGCAAACACC